CATCTCCAATCTTTCCTCTGGGGTCAAAAGTATCAACTGAAAGTCGATGAAGTAGAATATTTTATGTAGCCCTTTACACATTAAAGTTTCATATGATGTTTCACAGGCAATTATAGCCTCTACAAGCTTCCTTTATTACTATGACACTTCCAATTAAATGCAACAACCATTTGCAAACAACAGGAGGTTAATATTTTTACAAGGCGTTTATTCCATCAGACTGTAAGGGAAGATACATCACACCTAGAGCGTGGACATTAAGGCTTTTTATTATGTGTTGTCTTATAGTTAGGGTTTATGGTGCACCTTAACCCCAACTGGAATAATGCAAAAAAGCACATACCATTTGGGTCTGAAACACAAGTTTTAAGTCATATAAACATCGTAGTGCAAGTCTAATCAACTAGTATGCGTTAGACAGAAAAGACTTCAAGGGATAAAATGAGAGAGAATTTAATTGATTGGTTGTTTTTTGCAAATTTTTATTTTAAACAGTGTTTTCAAGTGCTTTTCATGTATCAACTCATTCAGCCATCACAACAGCCCAGTGATATTGATACCATTATTGCTCCATTTAATAGATTAGGAAACTGAGGCACAGAGAGGTCAAGTAACTTAGTCACACAGCCAGGAAATAATATGATTCTCCCATTAAATGAATTCTCTAGTCATATGTCGTTCACCTACCAATAAAAGAGTTATTTGGTGAATTTCAGTGGAGGAATCTAATTTGAACCTATTTATACAATTTTCCAATTAAAAGAACAGAGGGTAGAGTAATAAAAATAAAAGCAGCAGGATTTGAGGTGACTACAACTTTGCTCTAAGGTATAAATATTGGAATTTTCATGGAGAAAACAGGCCTTTTCTTCCTCAAACTCCTTGTTTAAGTATGAAATCCAGTGAGGAAGAGCATATAGTTCTGGAAACTATAAATTCAAAAACACATTGTGAAGAGGTCCTAAAATTTAGAATCAGATGACCAATTCTAGCTGTGTGGCTTTGGGCAAATTACCCAGATTTATTGTGTGCTTTATTTAGTAAATGGATGTAATAGTAGTTTTATTTTTAAAGTTATTATAAGGGTACAGTGAAGGGAATACATGAACATAATGTAATTGGTAAAGGCTTACATAGATATTGGTTAATTTCACTATTATCACAATAATATTTGTGGTTAATAAATACATAATTGTGGTTAATAAATATACGATGACTGAATAGGGTCTATTCATATCAGGACTTAGCATGATTGAATCCTCAAATGACTCGATGAAGTTCACAGAATAAACACTAGATTGTTCAAGTGACTGGACACCATTGACAGAAAGCAGCCCAAGGAGAACCTTCCAGGTGCCGGAGCAAGGCTGCCAATTGCAACTTGAGCTCAAGACTTGACTTGAGGTTCACTAATAAAGGCTAAATGCAGTGCTGTCATTTGAACTTCAAAAAGCAAAACACATTTGCTTCTCTTATTTGGGCCTTTCAAATGGAGGTGTCTCTTTGGGTACCAAGTTATCTGGATAATAACCACTTTTCTACAAATCTTATTAGTAGCTAGAAGAATGCTGTTTCAACTAGAAGCATACAGCAAAGGAGACATTTTATGATTAGCCCTTCAAATGGCTACAACCAAATTTGAAAAAATAAACAAAACAATAAACATATGTTGCCTAAATTACCTCAAAATGTGAAAATCCCAAAAACACAAAATATTCTTTCTGTGCAACTGAACATGCCCAAGTCAGCTGAAGAAAAGAGATAAATGTTTAAATGGGATGTTGGTCGCTTTGAGTGTCTTTGAAGCTTTGGAAAAGATTGGTTGCATTACAGGTCTTTTTTGTTTGCATAGCTGGTTCTTATTCAACACCTATTTGTACTTCCTGGTTCTTGGGGGCCTGTAAGATTTCTCTCCACTCAGTTATTTAACCAATGCTGAAATGATTTTTTTTAAAATCTGAGGATGTAAGTAGAACTAAGTCGAGCCCATTGCTGCAGTCAAGCATTTTACTTCTTGATCACTAAGAACTAACCTAAGATATTGGAGGAATTGGATTTCAATATGGCTAAGGAACACCAACAAGCATTCTCTGAATTGGCAAAAATAAACTCATTCTGTGGAGTAGTGTAGTTTCTAAACCTTGGATTTTTTTCACATTTTTCTTAGTGGTGGTAGTAGTAATACTGGTAGTAGATGAATACTAGGGGCAGACATTATAGCAGTTGTTTCTTGTTAATAACAGTTGCACCAATTATTGTACTCATAGTAACAGTAATTATAATTTATTTCAATGTTAGAATAATAGAAGAAGCAAGAATTGTAATTATACCTTTTACATATTAAAAAATTCTTCCATATTTTTACTTAGTTCTTTAGGAACAATTTGAGACTTCACCCTTGGGATTTGGGATATTGTAATTTTAGAAAAAACCTTTTTCTGATGAAAGGAAGCAGCAGTTAATGATTCCCATGATCTGAAAGCTGGGATATAGAGAGTGGAGAATAATTCTTCGCCAAATGTATGTAGGAACATTCAGTGACACACACACACATTAACACACAGGGTGCCAAAAAAAAATGTATACGTACACATTTTAAGAAAGGAAAAATCTATTAAAATTGTAATAATATATACCAATAACAAAAGGTGAATACAAGTCATGTTTGACTTCTGCAGTTACAAGAGGTGCTCAAAGTGGTTACCATCAGCATCGGGACACTTCTGATTACAGCGAACTACTGCTTGAGCATAGATAACATCTCTTAAAATGTGTATACATTTTTTTGGCACCCCTGGTATGTATACACACACACAAATGTATGTACATTTGTGTGTATATATATACATATATGTGTATATGTATACACATATATAATTTTAAATACTAACAGTAAGAATTAAATATCTGAAATCATCTCTCATCATACATTTTGCAACTCTTTTTCTAGGAATTGCTGCTACTTTTCTTAGAGTTGTTTTGGAGAAAGAATTTTGTATGGATTTAAAATTATCTTACTGCCTTAAATTACTGCCCTCTTTATTTTTTAAATCAAGCGAAGTTTCTTCTATTAGCACGCCGAGAATATAGAGTAGAGAAATAACTATCCAAAGCTACTGTCTCTAAAAGAAAATTTCCAGAGTATAATTCAATCTTTCCTTAAAAGATCACACTTATAGAACTTCAATATCCATTTTAGTGGTCAAATTATAAAGGCATGTTGGTGAGGATAGGAGAAAAAAATAAATCATAAACGCTGAAACATACTCTTCATCTTTATAATTCTAAGGATGTCATATTGAGCTTTGAGCATTAAGAGTGTTTCTGAAAATCTGCAGGGAAATAAAATAAAAGCAATGATTGTGTCACCCTATGTTCTTTTAGTACACTTGAACTATGTGAAATTATAAATACACAAAATTCTGCTCAAGGCCTAAGGAATTTATTTTGAAAGATGTTACTTGTCAAATGAGAAATAAGATATAGTCAATGATTAAAATATATGCTAATGATTTTACTAGTTAAAAATATATATTTTTTAAGGTGAATGGCTAGAATTCAGTTGTACCCTTGATGAAAAATGAAAAGGAAAAGTTAAGGAAAGAAGACACCGTGGAAAAGACAGAAAATAATTTCAAAGTAAATAACTGCAAATTTAGTCTTCCAATAACTTACCTAGAAATTACAGTTGAGAATTTGAAACAATAAAAAACTACAATATGCCAGTGAAAACTTTAAGATCATCAAGTGAGATAACAAACTTTTAGAAGTATAAATTCTACACAATTTTGTCTTTTTAAAATCTTGCTTGTTTTATTAATTCTTGTGAAAATAGAAAAATGATCTATAGTAGCCCTGGATATCTAGTTAATTTCTGATTGCCTAAACATTACAACTGCAATGTCACAAATAAATTGCTTTGGATTGTATTTTGAAATAGTGCATGAGTGTGTGTGTATGTGTGTGGTGTGTATACATGTGACCATTTGCATATATATTTTCTTAATTGTACATTTCTTAGATTAATATTAAAATTAGCATTTTCTGAGCTGACTCTCCTTTCACATCTAAGGACATTGGAGTCATGAAGCCAGTATGGGATTAACAATTTGTCATGGATAACCCACAAAATAAATAAACCCAGTGTGAATAATTGAAAGTGGGGAGGGTTATAACATAGGAGCTGTGGAAAGTTAATTCAAGAGGAAGTTCTCCAAAGTAAATGCCCTCTCATTATCCAACTGCTAGCATAGGCTGGCATTGATGACTCTCAAGCAGAGAGCCTTTTGCACATTCTCAGTGTTTCACCATCCTATCTGCAAACACATAATGTTTACCTTCTTGATAGAGTGCTAGTTTTATAAAGAGCAATCTGAGTAATGTGCAAGTTTTACCAGGGGTAGTTAGCCTCCTTTCAACTTTGAAAAAAGGTCTAAAACGTTTTCTCCATTTTACTGATGGAGAAAGATATAAAGAGAGAGAGAGAGAGAGAGAGAGAGAGAGAGAGAGAGAGAGAGAGAGAGAGATGCATGTATAGTTTCTAAATTGTCCTAAGCTGAGATTGCAGTTTAAGAAAATGCAGTTAAACAACATGAAAATGCATTCATGTATAAAACGCACTTGCATATTCGGCTAGTGTTAAAATAACAAGGGATTAATAGTGGCATATTGAATGTTTGAATTGCTGATAGTACTGGATTAGCCTTTTCAGTTTAATTATCTCTTCCATATAATAGTCATTTTTCCACAGTTGAAGTTGTCCCAGTATAGATTTCTTGTTTGCCCATCTGCAGGGTGCTACCGATTCCATGAGGATGTGTTACTTAATCCAGTCTTAACTATTATATTTTGGGTCAGATATGACATCATTCATTTTGTTCCTTTTTTTAGCTACTATGGTATTTTATTTTCAAAATATGAGTGCAACTGAGTTGGAGGTATTTTAATTAATATTTTATCTAGGCTTTTTCTTAACATGTTTCCTACTTTTTTACTTACAGGTTTCATATACACTGGAGAAGTCGTACATCGAATGCTAACAGCCACACAGTACATAGCACCTTTAATGGCAAATTTTGATCCCAGTGTATCCAGAAATTCAACAGTCAGATATTTTGATAATGGTATGTATTGGTTAGCCTTTTTTTTTTTTTTTACTGTGTTTGTACTTTTAAGCGTCAACCATCAGATTCATACTAATATTTTAGTAACCTGGGTTTTTGTTTGTTTGTTTTTGGTCAAGTGGATTTATAAACTGCCTCATGCAAGTGCTCTAAGATGACAAATGTTATACTGTAACTGTTAGTATGTGGAGTAAAGTATATGGTCAAATGCTACTCATATTCATTCATTCCTTTGTCCTAATACCTATTAATCACTGTAATATATGAGTCCAACGAAGCAAATACATTTGAAGCTATTTGCAGTAAGTCCTTCCTATTAGAAAAACTAAATGAAGATAACTTGTTAGTTCTTTAAGTAGAGGCAAGTGGCATAGACATGGTTACTCAATTTTCAAATCTTCTATACTATATATACCATAAGATGAACACACCTTTTAAAAATTTAGGGTAGTGGATAGTTAAAATACACTTATGAAATTTAACTTTTCCTGACTTTAAAATATGAAATTTTAAAATATGAAGTATTTTAAATATATAATTTTATATATATTATATATTTTAAAAATATGAAATTAAGATTTATCAAGTATACTGGCCATGATCTGTTGTCGCGTCCCGTGCAGCAAGGGTGATGGGGAGTGAGATGGCCGGCGCAGAGTTAAAGAAACACAAGAATCAACTATAGAGTTAAAGCAAGGCCAGGGGGCTGCTGTCTCTGGAACTGAGCCGCCAATCAGGTCAATGCATAGCTTTTATTAAGAAACTTCAAAGAAGTGAAACTTTTTTGTGTGTGGTAAGCGCCTTATGGCTAATTTTTATCAACCAGCCCCATTGTATTTTAACACCTGTTGTGTCTTTATACTCCCACACATACACAACCCCCAGGATGGTATAGCTGTACCGCGGCCATGAAAATAAGGGAGATAATGGACATCACTTCACCAGGTCTCAGCATTTTGAGACACTTTTTTATGACCTCATTAGGTCAGGGATTGGTGTCGAGGACGTAGCTGTAAGGCAACAATCTATCCTTACTGTTTCTTTGCGGGACACACAAAATTATCAAAGGAAACCTAGAATATGTCACTAAATGCTATTCAAATATAAACCTCTAACTTTAGTGGAGAAAATAGGAAAAGAAGAGTTTGTTTTGAAAATTTAATTAAAGATAGAAATACAAACTTCCAATTATAAAATAAGTCACAGAGATCTAAAGTACAGCAGAGAGAATAGAGTCAATAATATCGTAATAACTATGTACGGTGACAGATGGTTACTAGACTTTGGATGGTGATCATTTTGTAAGATATATAAATGTTGAATCACTATATTGTATACCTGAAACTAACATAATATTATATGTCAGCTGTAAAAATTAATTAATTAATTGCTTTCAAGGGGACATTTCTTTAATAAAAAACTAGTATTTATTTGCCCAAATGACAATTTTATCTTTTAAAATAATGGAAGCATTTGGCAGGAACAAAACCATTTCTACTCTTGTCTTAATGAACAAGGAAGAAATTTACTAGTGAGTAGTATAGATTTAATGGTACAAGAGTTTGGGGGAAATGTGATTGTTTTGCTAAAAGCCATCTACTGACCAGTGTGATGAAGCCGTTTTACAGGTCAAAATGGCAAAGGAAGAAGGACACTAAATATAGTTAGCTATACACTCTGAGAAATACATTTCAAGCATTTTGAATAACATCAACTGTGTTCCAAAATTAGGTAACTCTGAATGTTAACCATTATAGTAACTTGCCCGTTATTCTAAGAAGTGTTATACTCTGTCTTCCCTCTTTAAAAAAATTCATGAGGTGCTCAAGCCCAAGGATGTACAAGTAGATTGTAAATGTACTTGAGACAGAACTACAACCAGAAACTTGCCTGAAGCTTATTTATTGCATTATCTACCAGAAAGAATCACCTTAGTAAGCTGGAAATAATTTGATGCAAGTTGATTATTTTCCAAGTTCTGTCACTTACTAGGTGAGGTTGGGGCCATTTACTTGGCACAGGATTCTGAAGACAAAGTTTTTACATTGTTAACATCAAAATCATAAAGCATATTAAATAAGTTTCTCCCTCCATATATTCTCTCATCCACAATGTTCCTCAGTAGCTGTTCATATTTGAATTTTACTTTTATTTGAATGTTTTTTAAAAATTAATTTTTACATTAATTCTGGATGCTAAATACTTTGAAATGAGGACTAGCTATAAGAAATCATTTAATGTTAAGTACCTGGCAGAGGAACTCAATACTAAGTAAGTCTTCCATAATTATTCAATGAACGAGTAAATGAAAAAAATTAAGCATGAAAGATGAGTTTTTAAATCTGAGAATTGTAAAGTAGTAATAATTAAGAATTAATGTATTTTACTTTATTGAAATATCTTGTGTGTAATGACCAAAGGAAATATTGAATTTCTACAACATGACAATGAAAGCTGGGTAATTGCTGGTGTTTTAGTAAATGAATGAGGCACTTTTGAATATTACAGTGTTCTTCACAGAATGCTTTTATGCAATAGCAACTTACTGAAATATTTCCAAATTTGATAGGTTAGGATCATTGAAAGTATGCTTAAGGATGGGAAATTCAACATTTCAGTAAAGCAAAACTCCTCTAGAGGAGACAGCAGCTGCTTAGAAAGTTTCTAAGATAGTATCTCTGTCAGTATTAAATCACTAGATTTTACAAATGAGACGATGCTTCCAAATGTTATAGGTAGCCTGAATGACTACAGAAGTCTAAGTGAGTCACAGAATATTAATGCACAAAACTAGAAAAGTTATAAAAATAAACCCTTTACTAGAAGAATGTCTTGAATAGCAAATTATAAAATATAATTCTTACTTATGATCAAACCTTGATACACATGAAAGCTCTACATTTTTACACCCTCCACTACATTTTCTGTTTTAGATGTGACACTTTACAACTTTTTCTATTGTCTGTCAATTAGCAGATTATTGTATAGTTTTTTTTCACACATTCCTGTTTTAACATTTATACTAGAGGTGTAAGTGATTTACCCACCATCATTACAATATTAGAATATTCTGAATTTACCTTTATCATTGAGTTTTATACTTTCATATAATTCCTGTTACTAAATAGCATGCTTTTATTTCAGTTCGAAATCCCTTTAATATTTCCTATAAAGCTGGTCTAGTAGTGATGAACCTCTTCAACTTTTGTTTGTCTGGAAAACTTTTTCTCTCTCCTTCAATTCTGAAGGACATCTTCACCTGGTAGAGTACTCTTGGTTGGCACTTTGATTATCTCATCACACTCCCACTAGCCTGCAAGGTTTCTGCTGAAAAAAATCTACTGATAGTTTCAATGGGTTCCCTTGTAAGTAACAGATTGCTGCTTTTAAGATTCTCTCTTTGTCTTCAACTTCTGCTAATTTAATTATAATGTGTCTCTGTATGAGTCTCTTTTAATTTATCTTCTTTTGTTTTTTTTTTGTTTTTTGGCTTCCTGGATCAGGATGTCTGTTTCCTCCCCACCCCCTGGATTAGGGAAATTTTCAGCCACTATTTCTTTGAATAAGCTTTCTGCCCCTTTCTGTCTTCTCCTTCTGGAATCCCTATAATGTGAATATTGGTCCACTTGATGATGACCTATATTTCCCTTAAACTATCTTTACTCCTGTTTCATTCTTTTTCCTTTGTGCTTCTCTGATTGGATGAATTCCATAGCCCTGTCTTCAAGTGCATTAATCCTATCTTCTACTTGATCTAGCTTGCTGCTGAACTCCTCTATTAAAATTTTCAGGTCAGTTATTACATACTTCAGCTCTATGATTTCTATGTAGCCGTTTTTAATATTTTCTTTCTCTTTGCTGAGATTCTCACTTTGCTCATGCATTGCTCTCCTGACTTCCGTGAGCATCTTTGTACTGTTGTTTTGAACTCATTTGGGTGAATCACTTACCTCTATTTCATTAAGATCGGTTTCTGGAGCTTTATCTCATTCTTTTGTTTGGAACGTATTCCCTGTTGCTTCAATTATTTTGACTCTATGTTGGTTTCTGCATTGCATATTAGACAAAATAGCCCCTTCTTCCAGTCTGGTAGGACACAAACCTCATCAGTCAGCCCAGCGGAAGCCCCTGGTTGCCTCTCAAGCCTTTGTGATTGTCCAAGATACCATCTTGGTTCTTAGTGGCAGCCAATAGTTGAGAGTGTCCCAAGTCCCATCAGTGTCCTAAAGGGGAAGATTATAGTCAGCACCTGTATGCAGACTGATTTGTTGCCGGACTCTCAAGCAACAGCCAGGAAAGTATGCAGTCAAACCCCATCTAGGGAGGAACTGGGAGACAGGCGTTTTTGCCTGTTTTTTCTTCAGAGTCTGGGAGTGTAGCCATGGGGAGGTGCCCCTGCACCCATTTTGGAACTGCTTCTTTGTCTGCTGTAGCCTGTGACTTATAAATGCAAGCCTTGCTAGCTACCAGAGCAAGGTGGTTTAGGTGCCAAAACCTCAATGGCAGCCATAAAAGTTGGGGCCCGACATGTGTAGACAAGCTCCTTCTAGATAGGTTCTGGCAACTTGGCTTTATTGTTGGAGTGAGCTGGAGGAAGAAGGTGAGGAAAGTGCCCACCAGCTCTTTTGGGCCTTGGGGGAGGATAACAGTCAGTACCTAGATGACTGCTAACTAGATGCCGGACCCTCATGCAGCAGCTTGAAAAATATGCAGTCGCACCCCTTCCAGGAACAGACTGGGAGCTGGACACTGTTGCCTGCTTCCTCTCTGAATCCCAGTGGGGAGGGGAAATAGCGAAGGCACGTGCTCAAGGGCGTGCCTGGTAAGAATTGCTCTTTGTCTGCCGCTGTCCTATAGGACTCATGAATGCAAATCCCATTGTCTGTCACAATTAGGCAATCTGGAGAGCTGTCTCTCAGCTGCTCCCACAGAAACTGGGTGCCAGACGTGTGTAAGCTCCTTGCAGAGAGATGCTGGTGACCTGGTTTTATCGTTAGAGAGAGCCAAAGGGAAAGGGCGGGGTAAGTGCCCCATGGCAACTTTGGGCTCTTGAGAGGATCAGAGTCAGCACCTAGATGCATGCAGTTTCAATGTGGGTATTTTCTCAGTTGCCCCATGCATAGTCATTCAGCTAGTTTCTGGATTTCCCTGAGAGGAAATTGTTCCGTGTGTAGCTGTATGTTCAGTGTGTCCATGTGAGGAGGGCAATTCAGGAGCTTCCTGTGCTGACATCTTGGTCAGAAGCTCTCTGCATTAAGTTATAATAAAAAACACTGTAAATGCAGTATTCTGTTCTGCACCATTTATCTTGGACAGGATTAACTCAGGAAGAGTCAAGTGGAAGAAATGGATATGGCAAAGTATATGGGAAGGGATGTGGACCTCCATGTCCCTCTGGACATATTCTCCCAGCCCCTCCACATCTTCACCCATGCAGAAGCTCTCTGTCATGCATTCTTGATTTTTTTTCTTCTTTTTTAATCAGATGTTTACTGACCTGGAAGATAAGTTTTACTCTTTAATTGTGTGAGTTTCATTTTCTGTACAACATTTTTTGGCAACATGATTTTTTTCACTGAACAGAAAATCAGATACTATGAGCTAAGCAAAAGTCGTAGCTGCTCATTTGTTTTCTTTAAAAAAAAATAGACAGAGAATAAACAATGTCAGTTAAAACAAGTATATGAATCCTCACTGGTGGCTATTAAACGGTGTTTTAATTTCTATTTTATGTTAATAGTTTTATAGTAAACACTGGCAAATTGACTCATCCGAATATGATATATAGCCCTGAAGAGTTATTCCAGTGTACTTCAAGGAGGCTTCCGAAATCTTAGCCTGGGGCCCTTTAAGCTACCTTGCAGCCGCCTCGAAGCAATCAAAGGCAGAATCTCAGGCAATGTGAATCAAAGAAGAGTATTACCATTAGTGTTAAAATAATTTCTTCAGCATGGAAGAGTATAATTCTAAGTATGGAAGAGACATTTTTCAGGTCTTTTTAAAGTGATTCTAGCTTTCTGAATGGGTTCCTTTCTCTCTCAGCATTTGTCAATGTATTTGAAATTCATTCAATTTGCTTGAGCTGCATTTTAAAAGTGGCTCATGGGAATTTAAGCAGACAGTACCCATTGACGTTAATAGACTTCCTAAGGCAAAATTGCCCCCATACTGGGCTCAATATTAACCTCCAGTATGAGGTTACATTTTACCAAATACTTAGAGAATACTCAATTCTTTAACAATATTCCAAATGCTATTTCAATAACAGTATTCCAATTAACCATATAAAATTCAAGTAGCACTACTACTAGATTTAAAGGCTAGATCCATCCTTTTGTGAAGGTTTCGCCAGAATTGATTGACATATTTATCTCACTGCATTTTTCCTGTTCTGATGGGGTTCATAGGCACAGCACTTGTTGTCCAGTGGGACCACGTACATCTCCAGGATAATTACAACCTGGGAAGCTTCACATTCCAGGCAACCCTCCTCATGGATGGACGCATCATCTTTGGATACAAAGAAGTAAGTAATGTGTTCATGACTTCCTTCCCCCTTTACCTTGACTTCTATCTGTTCTTTCCTTCACGTATCAAGAAGGGCACACTTTATAGATGAACCTCAAATCATTTTCTCACTTCTTGGTTTCTTTTGCTTCATTTAAAAAATAGATGTTTTTGAATCTGGGTAGCACTAATTATTAATTCTTTGGGTTTTGTTTTGTTTTGTATTCTGATATCATTGGCATTATGATCCCTGATTTTTATAAACTTATTGAATAATTATATTCTAGTGATAGTATAATGAAATAACTCTAAGAAAAAATATTTCCAATTTGAAATGTGATTAATTATATAGTATATGATTTTTTTGGTTTGATTTTTGCCTTGTCAATTTCTGTGACTTTTTTGGTAGTATCTCCAAAAGTATTAGTAAGCATGAAAATGTGTATGGCCGAATGACCCAGGACGGAAAGCGTTCAAGGATAGCCTCTCGCCAATGGTTATTACAAGCTGATAGGAAAGACTACTTAGAGATCTAAGTGAGAGAAAGAACAAAGGAATTTAAACTTATGGTTTGTTTCACTTTGCCAAATGGACAAGGTAATGAATGGAAACTTACTAAATTGTAGCCTTAGATTTATAGAATATCTAAATTAGAATAATAGCATGTTTGGTTTAAAACCCTATCGACAATGTAATCAAGGCCTATTAGACAATCTAAACTTTTGGGAAAGAAAACAAAGAATGAAGTTCCAGGAACAGCCGATATGATATTTTAGGCAGTCACTAAGCATGAGAGAATTCTGACAATGTGTATTGATAAAGGGCACTATTAACCCATGGATTGATAGGTATTTATTAGCACCACGCTCTAACCAACTGAGCTAACCGGCCACTCAGATAGGTATTTATAATAGTACGGGTTCAATATCTTATTTTCAATCAAAGGGTTATTTTCCCTTAGGAAATGAATCCATGGCTGTTAAGAAGATGTTGACAATTTAAAAAGGATTCACTTTGGTCAAGGCTTCTGAAATTTATCTTTTCTATAAAATGAGGGATACTTATATTTCAATTAGATAAGCCAACTTTTAGAAATCTCCTAACTAGGCTAGATGTTTCCACTCCTTTGAAGAATTCTTCCGTGTGGAATTAATCACTTACTTGGGGCCATAATATAAATAGAAGAGGATCTATTCTGTTTGGTGCTTCTTTATCCAGAGCTATGTTTTGATATCATAGCCCGCCATATCTTATATCACAGCCCCTGGAAGCTGAGATTGTATCGCTCAAAGGGACTTATTCATTTCAAGTTTTCATTATAATCTAGTGTGCTGCTGGGACTGCAGAGTGATGTTATGGAATGTTACTTTGCAACATTTTTAACCAACAGTGGTAAAGTTTTTGGAAAGATGCAGGGTCAGTAAGTCTAGAGTCTTAAACCTCACTAACTGCAGGCTTTGTCAAAACAGAGGTCTGTGTTCTGTTGTGGTTTCTCTCTCTCTCTCTCTCTCTCTCTCTCTCTCTCTCTCTCTCTCTCTCTCTCTCTCTCAGCAAAATTGCCATCTCCATTTACACTGTTCTCAATGGGTGTCTTGCATTGCAGTTAACAGTTTATTTTTCCTATTCTCTGTTTACAGCGGGTTTAGTATTTTTTAAATATTTTTTTTCTTTATTTTAATCAAAGAAAAATTTTCCATTATGTTTTTCCCCCCCTGTTTTGGCATGGGGAATATTAAGCTGTAAGCAATTTTAACACTTTATTGACATTCTCAGACTACTGCCTTGTTGAACATCAGTCCTTCTGAACACAGAATTCTAAAGAAGCCATTGCTTTATTATTTGCCTACTGTCCTTTGTCCTGGTTAGAAAACAGTTTCTTATTTCCTATTCTACCTTTTTTTTTTCCTGATAATTGTCATGCATTTTATTTTACTGAGGCAAATTTCTATTTGCAAAGTTTGCCACGATAAAAGTCTCCTTGCATTTGGGGCAAGAAGTAGATGCTCTTGACACTTCTAGAAAAATGTTTATAACCACAATAGCGTAAAATAGTTCTTTTCATAATGTATTTTACTTGACAGAATGCTTTCACATACATTATAGTTTTCTATTATTCAACAGTATCCTATATTCTTAATATTCTTAGTCTTTGCAAAGGTGCTGGTACATAGAAGGTATTTAATAAATGTGCGTGGCTTAATTATGAAATTAGATCATGCACAATTAGCTTTATAGCTAAGCAGACTGAGTCAGGCAGGTTAATAACATACTTGAGGTTGCAGAGCGAGTTTAAGACAAATCTAGGACTAAAAACCTGAATTTGGTGATCCCAAGAGACCTAAACATTTTTTCTTTCCCAAGGAGATTATGTGTAACAATTCACAAATGACTTTCTCATTTGTTTTTTCAATAAATATTTGTTAATGTTTGGTGTTTAATAATCTTTTCATATGCTTCCAATATATTACACAATTTTAGTCCCAGAAAATCAGAAGAAATATTCCTAGTTAAGTTACCAAGCTAATAAAATCTAGAGAACATGAGATTATAAGGAATATAATTTTGCGTTGCTGTCCAAGTTAAAGTTATAGAACCAAAATTATAGATAGAGGTAGAGTGTAATTCTTTCTGTAATGATTTGCTTCTAGCTTGCTAATGCCAGCTTTGTTTTATTATGTTTTGTGTAAGAAGAAAAATTCTGATTTATGCAGAAACTACCAGTAAAGGACTTGGTAAAATTGTAGAGTAATATTAGTAATGCATTAAATAAATTTATTGGCACAAATTTCATTTTTATCACCTTCAAATGATTTATTCCAGTAGCTAATTATGTTCTCTTAGTAACTCTTAATGTACCCATACTAACCAGTCAAATGATCTCCAGTTCTATCATGTTCCATATATTGTCATTTCTCCAACAATGCAATATTTTACAGGGCAAATTAGATAAATAATGATCAATAAATTAGAAAATCCACTTGCACTTTTCATAACAATCTTGCTTGTGATAGAATTGAGAAAGGGAAGCACTAGTGCTGTGTAAGGTAAGAGCGAATGCAGATTTGCTCGTAGCATTCAGTGTTCCTGCACCCAAGTCCCAGTGTCATCCTGGTGAGGGAAGCAGTGGAGGCACAGACTCTTTTACATAATTAGGTTATCTCTCCTGAGAGTGTCACCCTGTGTTATTCAACCAAAGATTTGAAATTCTGTTTCCAGTTATAGGCCCTTATTGTTACACAGCTGTTTAATTTTGTTAACTTCAGAGATATCGTTTACTTAGGATGAAACCAAAGCACAAAAAACATATCTTTTTCAAAATTTCCTTTCAAATTATCAACTGTTCACTTCAATGCATTTTTTGATTTCAGGGTATCCATTTATTTCTTTTGCATACATTTAATTATGTAATGAACTCAATCACCTTGTCATCTATTTCCTTAAATATATTAATAACGGTTCTTGTAAAGTTTGTGACTGATAACTCTAATATCTAGATTTCCTGTGGGACTGTTTCTGTCATCTGGGTTTTTTCCCTCTAGGTGTTCATTCGTGGATCATATCTCCCTCCATGCTAGGTAATTTTTGATCAAATGCTGGACATTGTTTACACAATACTAAAGAGATCCTGTGAGGTTGCTGATGATGGTTCTGCCTTCAGAGAGGGCTTACTATGTTTTGTTTGGCAGTTAGGATGGACGATTAATACTGTGCAGTGCCAAGTTCATTCTAAGCTGGGCATCTGTGCTTGTAAAGGCTGGTATTTTTCTGGATATCACTTACTCTTAGACTGTAGTCCTTCAGGAATCTCCACTTAGGGCCTGGGTGTTTACTATGGACCTTTGGCCTCACTGACCCTGAACGTCTGCATTTTCCTCAACTCTATGAGACTGCCTGAGGTTCTGCTCAGCTTCTCAACCTCTGAGCCTGGCTTATGAATTGTCAAATGCCCTGATGAGAAAGTGGTGTTGGGTTCGCTTCTGTGATTCCCTTTCTCTGGAATTGTGGCTTCTCAAGCCCTTGTTCTTTGCTAGCCACCTGATGCCTTCAGCAGGTGCTTTCCACAAGTTACTCACCTTTCCCACTTGATATCAGCAGTATTATAGATATGGTCTTATACAAGTTCGTCTGCCATATCCAGAAGTCCTTTTCACTTTTAATAACAACCTCCACATTTAATAAATCCAGCATTTATTGAGCTCTTCATATATACCAGGCAGTTACCTAGGTGCTTAAAATTGATCTCATGTAATTCTCATGAAAACCAAGAAGAAATTACTTTCATCATTTACAGAGAAGGAACCTGAAGCGCCCAAAGAGGTTTAGTAACTTTCCCCAAATAATGAAACAAAGATTCATTTGAGGGACTATGACTGCAGAGCCTGTAGGCCTAACCAGTGTACCGTACTGCCTTCCTAGATTTTCGTTTGAAGAAATGGCTGATCTACTTCGCTTGCTTTGATATACTCAACACTCTTTCCTGGTTAGTCATTATTATACTGCAACTGAGCCACTTGAGAGCACAGTGAGAGTGGTTTACCTTTCCACAGCATTTACCTTATGTTATTCATTTTTTTTAAAAAAGGTAAAGAAGTTGTGCATAAGTAAAATAGAATAATAAAAAGTATGCGTTCTTTCTTAAGAAAATGGAATTTGGAAAATTGAATTTCCGTTACTTATTCTGTTCTAAGTAGCTATGACCTTAGAACCCAGATTTTTTATATTATTTTGTCATTGAATAGTGATGACTGTTTGTTTGATTAAAGTAGATACAAACCTGAAATTTTTGATCTATTGGTAATTTAATAAGGAAACTATTCACAAAAAAAGATTCCATTCCAAAAACATTAGAAATTTGAAATCAGATTTCTTACAGTCCTTGATGCTATCCTAACATACTATCATATTTTTAAAGTTACATTTCCTCATACTTGCTTCATTTCTCTTTTGTTATATTTTGAATTTATTGTGACTTTAGATACAAACTAGGGAATGTTGTGATTCTTTTTTGTGTGTATCAAA